GGATGACACGGCGAGCGACTGCACGCTTCTGCTTAAAATCAAGAAGTCTCTCAGTGGTTAGAATGAGAAGCTGTGGATAAAACTGAGGACGAGAAGAGGTGTAAAAGCTCATCAATGGAGGACGAAGAAGGAACCTCCCTAAAAACACTTAGTTGTGAGTAAAGGTCCCAATTTGCCTGATCAAATTGCCAGCGTGGGTTAGAAAGAGGTGGTGAATATGAAGGGGAAGTAAGAATGATTGGAAAATGATCGCTGTCATGCTAATTCGGGAGAACAGACCAGGTGAAGTCTAGTGCGGCAGAGGAAGAGCAGACTGAGAGATCGATGCAAGAGAGAGTATGAGTACGAGGATCAAAATGGGTGTGAGTACCTGTATTTAAAACATGGAGGGGGGTGGGAAGCAAGAAAAGCCTCTAACTGAATGCCACGAGAATCACAGTGAACCCCCCCCCCAGAGGAAGTGATGGGCATTAAAATCGCCAAGTAACAGAAGTGGTGGCGGTAATGACGAAACAAGAAAGGCAATATCCGGAATAGATAATGCTCGAGGAGAGAGATACGGACTAGAGGGGTTAGAAAAGTCCACATGTGGTGGCAGCGGAAAACGTTCAAGCAGCGAAGGAACGGTGCTCTGTGGAGAAAGGAATTGCGCAGATGGAGAAGAGGAAAGAAAAGGAACAAAGGGTGGATCAGTGTCCAATGATGGTTTGGTCTCTGCAATATATTCAGAAATTGCTTCAAGTGTTTTGAAGTTCAGAGACGTCGTATGGGAGACAATATTGGAGATGGAAGGAGGAGGAGTTTGAGTAAAGATCGGAACTGTAATGGACTGTACCAAGGTAAGGGGGGGGGGCGAAAGGGTGGAGGGAACTGGAGAAGTGTGGGAGGGGACAGAAGAGGCAGAAACCTGGGAGGTGGTAGAAGTGGAAGAAACTTGGGAGGGGACAGGGGAGGAAGGCACAGTACGAGGAGGAGGATGAACCTCCACACTTGTAACAGCCAGTGAAAGGGGAAGACCCAAGTACAGATACCTGGAAGGTAAAATGTGGAGGTGGATGAAGGGAAGGAGGGGTTAAAGGAGATTTTTTGGACTTCTGAGTAGAGGGACGATTGGGAGGAGGTGTCGTACGAGGTCTTGTCGATACCAGGGTTTGTGAGGGAGAACACGAAGAAGTGAGAACAGACTGAGGTGTTGAAGTAGGGACATCTGAGCCCAGGACAGCAAAAGAATTAGATACAGGAGTGACTATGGGACTGACAACCGCAGAGGATCCAAGGTTCGTGGGTTCGAGTCTCCTTCAGCCAGAGATCAGTGTTTGTGTATATTTCGCCTGCTGTTGCGAATTCCTGCATTGTTAAAATCTCTAGTAAGGCTGATGCGTGCAGGGGATGAGATGAAAAGCTGTAAGCCTTCTCCCTGAAAGCTGGCTGCCTTGGATCAAAGTATAGCGCAAGCTGGGCGCCAAGGTATTGGTTCAGTGTGGTGAGAATGGTAATGCACTGCGTACCTTGTTCCAAGGTTCGTAGGTTCGAGTCTCCTTCAGCCAGAGATCAGTATATATATATATATATATATATATATATATATAAACCACCTCTAGAACTGTGTTGGGGACCCTCATTCTCAAAGAAAAGAATAAACTTGCTTCAGGGAAAACTCAAGGTTCTCCCTGAAGCTGTTTGGAAATTTTCTATCACCTATATATTCTATATATGCTTCATTTAAAAACAAAATACACTAACAAAATACATTGGCAAATATACAACAGAAAGTAAAGCAACATAGATAGCTCAGAGCTACATCTCGAATACTTCGTCCAGCTCCCCTGTGGTGGGCTGCATGCCCAGAATGCTGCAAGCATTTCCTCTTTGAATCGCAACACTGAGTCTCTGAAAGAGAAAGCTGGTCCCCCTGTGATCCTTGGTTCCTATAATGAGTTTTTCAACCAGCTCTTTAAGGAACTTGCCCCATGCTTCAAGTTACAGCAAGGGGAAAGGTTTTCATATTTGCGGGTCTTCTGGGTCTCCCTGTGGCTGGCAGCTCCACCACCTTCAACTACGGAGTATGTCAAGTAGGTGTCTGCCAATGTGGCGGCACAGGTGTAGTCCCAGGCACTCTACTTACCATCCTTCCAGGGTAGCATAGTGGCTCCATCAGGACGCTTTTATATATACACGAAGGACCATGCTAGTTGTTCATGATCCGAGGACACAGGATCTAATCCCTGCTGGCTGCAAAATGGTTTTTATATCACTTGTTTCGTGGTTTCATTACTATATAAACTGCTTGTGGATTCTGGTATTCAAACGGGAGGTGGTTGGAATTAGCCTCGAGTTTACACTACCACGAGTGCCCTCGGATCATGAACAACATGGTTTCCTGAAGGATCGCTGGTTAAGTGGTTCAGGCAATGTGATTGGTGTTTTCCTGAGGCGGGAGAATGTGTTGCAGGATCTAATCCCGGTTGGTTGCAGTTTGGTAAGTGTTTTATTTCAGTACCATTTGTTTCGTGGTTTCATTACTTTGAGATATATATTATATATATATATATATATATATATATATATATATATATATATATATATATATATATATATATATATTATATATCAGTGAAGAGGTGGGGCCAGGAGCTATGATTCGACCCCTGCAACCACAAATAGGTGAGCGCGCGCGCTCACCTATTTGTGGTTGCAGGGGTCGAGTCATAGCTCCTGTCCCCACCTCTTCACTGATCACTACTAGGTCCTCTCCCTGCTCCATAAACTTGATCAAACCTCGTCTTAAAACTATGTATGGTTCCCGCCTCCACTACATCACTTGCTAGTCTATTCCACTTCCTGACTACTCTATGACTGAAGAAATACTTCCTAACATCCCTTTGACTCATCTGAGTCTTCAACTTCCAATTGTGACCCCTTGTTTCTGTGTCCCATCTCTGGAACATCCTGTCTTTGTCTACCTTGTCTATGCCGCACAGTATTTCACATGTCATTATCATGTCTCCCCTGACCCTCCTGTCCTCCAGTGTCGTCAGGCCAATTTCCCTTAACCTTTCTTTGTAGGACAATCCCCTTAGCTCTGGGACTAGTCTTGTTGCAAACCTTTGCACTTTCTCTAATTTCTTGACGTGCTTGAGCAGGTGTGGGTTCCAAACTGGTGCTGTATACTCCAGTATGGGCCTGAAGTATACAGAGTCTTGAACGAATCCTTACTGAGATATCGGAACGCTATCCGTAGGCTTGCCAGGCGCCCGTGTGCTACAGTGTTATCTGATTGATGTGCGCCTCAGGAGATATGCTCGGTATTATACTCACCCCCAGATCTTTTTCCTTGAGTGAGGTTTGCAGTCTTTGGCCATCTAAACTATATTGTGTCTGCGGTCTTCTTTGCCCTTCCCCAATCTTCATGACTTTGCATTTGACAGAGTTAAATTCAAGGAGCCAGTTGTTGGACCAGGCTTGTAGCCTGTCCAGGTCTCTTTGTAGTCCTGCCTGATCCTCGACCGATTTGATTCGTCTCATTAACTTCACATCATCTGCAAACAAGGACACTTCTGAGTCTATCCCTTCCGTTGTCATTCACATACACCAAAAACAGCACAGGTCCTAGGACTGATTGCAGCCATGTATACACGTAAGTAACCATTCTTACAGTATTCATTACCTTTGTAACTTGTGAGTTCATTACCTTTGTAACTTGTGAGTTCATTACCTTGTACCTAGTTCAGCCATCAAAACTTTGGAGCCCGGTCCCTGGACCCATTGTGTACCTCTGTAATCTGTAAATACCTTTGTAACTTGTCATGATTGTGACTAGACCTACCTGGAGTTCATTACCTTTGTAAATTGTGAGTTCATTACCTTTGTAAATTGTGAATTCATTACCTCTAACTTGCTCAGCTATCAAAACTTTGAGGCCCAGTCCCTGGACCCATTATGTACCTCTGTAATCTTTTGACTACCGCCCACAGGATGGGTATGGGGTGACTACCGCCCACAGGATGGGTATGGGGTGACTACCGCCCACAGGATGGGTATGGGGTGACTACCGCCCACAGGATGGGTATGTGGTGCATAATAAACATATTAAACTAACTCCTAGGACTGACCCCTGTGGGTGTGTCTGTGTATGTGTTAAATGAGATTTAACCATATTTTGAATGAAATCGACATATTGATAAAACTAAAAAGCAGATCTGTGTTATAGAAAAGCTGTATATACCACATCTCAAGTACAGCATACCTCACCTGAGGCACATCTCCCCCTCATATATTTTTCAAGTTTCTGGTATACATCCCTTGAGAAAAACTCTCGTATTGTCCCTATAATTTTCATCAAATCTTTCTTACTCATCATCTCTTCCTATTAACAAGTCCTCAATTATCAATACAGTGACTCAGGGCTGGGTATGAATAGTACCTGAGGTACTGAAACAAACTCTTGAGAAGTTTTGAGAAAAGGCTGGACAAATACGTGGGTGGAAATGAGTGTTTTTTTTTTGCCATGTATGGGCCAGTAGGACTATTACAATATTCCTGTATTCTTAGGCAGTATCCTCTTAACGCGGTCTTAGTTATATAAGCCGCTGAATGGTTTGATCATTTGATAAGAGGCCTTCCATTGGCTTACCTGTCGACCCTGCAAAATAATTAAGATCACATCCTGATATGTGATGGTAGGATGTTATCTTCAAATAAAAAAAGGATCACCGACCAGTCGTATCCTAGGATGCTGAGTCGTCCATTAGAAACTAGTGATGCATGAGAGATGAGACCTCTCACAAAAACTTAGGTATTGCTACGTTCACCAACAGAAGTCCAAACTTCCTCAATCATCTGTTTCCATTACCACGTAGCAAGCCCCATCGTGTTTCATCACATCTGTACTACGCGACAGGGAGAGCCCAAGTTCGATGCCGCTAATTGTTTAAAATTTGGAGGACGTCTTAAGAGGTAACAGCTGCGGCAAGTATGACAAAGAGTGTTAAGCACGTCACCAGCCACAGTGACGATGATGACCATATTAATGATGCCGATGATGTTGGGTAATCTGTAGAGGAAAGAAAAGTCACATTAAAATGTGCTGAAAAAATGTAAAAAATAAAAATTAGCATTTCAAAAGTGATTGAGTCTGGTTTAGTGCTTAATTTTGATTGGTTAATTGAGCCTGGTGCCTTGACAATGATAGGCCCGGTGGCCTGGTGGCTAAAGCTCCCGCTTCACACACGGAGGGCCCGGGTTCGATTCCCGGCGGGTGGAAACATTTCGACACGTTTCCTTACACCTGTTGTCCTGTTCACCTAGCAGCAAATAGGTACCTGGGTGTTAGTCGACTGGTGTGGGTCGCATCCTGGGGGACAAGATTAAGGACCCCAATGGAAATAAGTTAGACAGTCTTCGATGACGCACTGACTTTCTTGGGTTATCCTGGGTGGCTAACCCCCCGGGGTTAAAAATCCGAACGAAATCTTATCTTATCTTACCACTATACACACAATCACAATAACTCACCAACCTCAATAAGAGCCTCAGAACCTCCGATGATCTAAGAAAAAACGTTGAAATGAGACTCATGGTAGTTAGATATTAGTGTCAAGGCTTGTTCACTCATGTGAAATTCCCCGTCTCTGGTACAACTTACCACGGTTGTTGTGTTGGTCTAAGACCAGGCGTTCTCTTTGGATGGGGCGCCGCTCTCAGACCCTTGACAAGAGTGTCCTAAAACTCGCAATCGTGTTATTACGATTTCGAGACTGACCTTCGTTCTGTCTTAACCATGTATTCGGCTTCTTCCACGATGGCTCTTCGATGTTCGAGTCGTTTACATGTCAGAGAACTGATGGGTCGAAGCCATCATCCAAACGCCCTCACCCGTCTTGGGCGAGCCTTACACTTTCTCGTTCTTTTCCTATTAAAAACGCTTCCTGGAAACCTCTTTTTCTACAATCATTTTTTCAGCGACACTCTTGGACAAAATTCTTCTCTCTTCAGCCAAGTTCACCTTCTGGCTACCACACTGATCATGGCATAAGCAAAGCTCTAATGTAGCACGTAGGCCAAATCGTTTCCTTTCAAGCTCTCAAGAGTGGGATGCGCATTGTTGTTGTGAAGGACACTCAGCAAGCTGACAGTTTTTCCTTCATCCACTCGACGACACCCCCGTCACAATACACAGATATTCTTTGCTCATTTCTAGCTGTGGTTCTGTACTCATGCCGCATGTTATGCAAAGCAGCCCGGACATTCAAGAACAAATTGAGCTCCGAAATTTCCCAGACACCAGAGGTCGGAGACGTTATCCTAGCAGCCATTGCTAAACTAACCTTCGATTCCCGGGAGTTTCCAGGCTCCTTGTGTATTACAGGCCAACACTTATAGGTGTGGGAGCCGCTCCTGACAATACTTGGCCTCTCGGCCAGGTATTGTCGATCACCGGAAGAATGTCCAGTCTGTGGTGCAGATGATCATAATTCTTCCTTTGACCTGCTTTCTTTCCCTACCTCCTCTAGCTTTAGCCGTGGAGAAGCTTACTCTGCATATTACCTCCGATACCATTATTACTTGAGACAACGTGAAGTCCGTTGTTTCATGGAATGGGAAGATCTTTCATACGCTGTGGCAGTGATTCAACTCCGTCTCCATGGAAGATTTCTACGGCTCTTATACTCCAGAGTAGCTTAGCATCCCAAGGTCCCTCCTGTTGAATCATCCACAGTAACAGCAGTGTCCAACCCTTACACAATCCTCACCTGGGACGTTACCACGTCTTCATCTTCGCCCATTCTCCTTACTTCTGCTGCTTCTTTTCACACATTTTTCCTCCAGCAGTCTTTCCGAACCGGGCCCATTATCTGCTCTGAAATCTCAAATACCCAAAACTCCCCCAATAACCAAAACTTCCTTCCAGCCTCTGTCTCTTCCCCTGCACTTGTGACAGTTGTTGACATCCATCCATCCTCCCCCACTTACTGACATTCATCCCCAGTCTTTGCGCAGATTCCTTTCTTCCAGGGAACCCGTATCCTCTCTCTATCTCATGCACTTTTGCCTGCTGATGTCTTGCTGTCCTCTGCTCCACCTTCCTTTTCCTCCTCTTGTATCAATCTTTGTTACTTTCTTGTCTTCAGAAACTGTCAAGGTAATATCTGCTTTTATTGAGGAGACAAAACATGCGATGGACACCGACCTGCCACCTTTACCCTCCACCTGCTGACCACTGTCATTCTTTGAGGGACACACGCACAAGGTGCGTGTGTCCCTCAAAGGTGCGTGTGTCCCTCAAAGGTGCGTGTGTCCCAAGAGTTTTATCTCTTTCCATCCTTCCTTCACTCCTTTAATTGTCCCTTTGAAGGTCTATATAACATGCACTGCATACTCTGTAAAAGCACATCAATACTATTCACATGCCAGACGACAGAAGCTGATGACATCCGTGTCCATACGCTCCATCGCTTACACTACGACACTCATCGTTTTCTTTCATCTTTTGATTCAATAGGTTCTCTTTCTTCACTGGAAAGCTGCCTCTGTCTTTCCTTGATGTAAGCCAGGCAATTCGTGCCATGACACTTCTGACTACAGACCCTTGGTTGTTACTAGGGCGTTTGGTAAATTGTTGGAATGCTTGGTTAACATACTGAGTTTGGTATTTAGAAACTCGAAAATCTCTTCCTCTCATCAATTTGGTTTTCGTAAGGGCTATTCCACCAGTCACCCAGCAATGCCTTTATGACGCTACATGATGTTGCAACATATTAGCCAAAGGTGTTCCATGGACCTCCCAGGCAATACGTACCTTTGCCTTAAACATTTTTCATCAGAAAAATTTTGAACCTGAACTTTGTCCATGTTGAAAGCGTACCTCAGGCTGTGTTCTGAGCACTCCCTGCTTTCTACTCGCTATTATTAACTTTGTCAATGTTTGATCATTTCTCTATATAACAGAACTTTGCTATACCTCGTTCAGGTGCTGACTGTCAACTAGTGGTGACTTCTTTTCAGTATAATCTTGATAATGCTTTACT